GGTGTCCCCATGCATCTTGAGCTGAACCTTGTCTTCTTTACAGTTGCTCTTAATCGGATGGCTAAAACGGACACCCTGTCCGACTGCTGCATGTGATCCCCACCTCGATGCGGGTCTTCAGCTGTTGAGCTTCATCCCCTTTCGTGCAAGACAAGGTTTTAGAACCGAGTTTTTGACTTTTGACTGTGCATAGCCTCAAATGAATCTGGACCTTCGCGTATACTACACCAGTGCACAGGTCGTGGATGCAGTAAAGTACTTCAGCATCCATACTGTACCACCAACTGAAGATCCCGATGTCCAATCAGGATCATGAGGACCTACTCAGACTTCTTCTATCGCATGTCCGTTTATAAGTTTTTTGCTCAAGAACAACCAGATGCTGTTCCTCTTTGCACCTTAGCTCTCCGCTGCTCAGCAATCTTTTTCACGCGTTCACTTCTGGCAGCTTCGAACCCGTTTCCACAACTTCTTCTGGCTCGGCGCCCTCCCTTTAGACATCTTTGGCAGAGACCTGTCGTTGGTTGCTGCTGCTTGTTATTCTACACAGCTTGAACTAGGGACGGCTTGCAGCCCCGCTGAGCACACAATGTCCATATAGATTTATTATAGAATCCCTTCCAAACCTAGCCTGGAACTTCAAGGCCTCCATAGAGCAAAGGCCCTTTGCAAGGAAGCGTTGCAATACAAAAAAAGTAAATGGCTTCTTGGGAGATACGTGATACACACACAATGCACGTCTATATATATAGTTACTTTTTTGACTGACCACCCTCTCTCAAACAATGTACTTATATACTACTTACATACAAGCGTACACGCATGACGCATGTGCCCTCTTCCAGGGTTACATAAAGTCTGCCACAACACTTTCTGACGGAGTCAAAGGGTGCAGGGCCAGGACGGAGACACCAAGACCGCTGGGCTGCTGGAAGTCAAGAAAGTTCAATCCTCTGGCAATAACAGGCTCCACTTAGTCATGACCACAGCCCCAACCCAAGGCTTTTGGGGTCAACCCCATCTTTTGACATGGCTCAGCTGACAAGATCGTCGATAGATTTTTCAATGATGGAACAACCAGTGCCTGAGTGTCCACAAGCACAGAATTGCTTTCAGCGAAACATTGCTGACACTTGGTTGTCACCAACTCGTCTCCAAGAAAGTCATATCATATGGACTCCAAAACTGGACTTTAGAAGCTTTATATATAGAAACAAATAGTTGGTTCAGTACGTGGAGAGTCAGGGACTTGTATTGAATATGCATGTGCTCTTGAATCACAGCACAAACTTCCATGATCGCCCACCAAAAAAAGGTGACTGAGACCTCGCGTCGTTCCTGGCAATGGGGCTGTAGCTGCATCAGTCAGATACAGTGCCACAATGAAACCCCTTACCATCGACTTGCGAGCGCCTGGAACCAGAAACCCAGAGACGACCACCAAATCTTGCGACACAAAAAGTGCATGAAAGGAAGAGAACTATGGGTTTCTTCTGAACTGGCTGGAAAGAAGTTGTTCCAATAGCCCTTATAAACTGCTAAGGTTAGAATGTGCGCCTTCAACACAAACGAGAGTCCATGGGAGCACATCGTTATTCTTTCATGCACATCTTGTCTCACAAAGTCTAGAATGTCCCCAATGGAGTCATGGTGGCAGTCGGAAACATGGGTCGCGACCTGCCCAAAGTGTCAGAATATTCGACCCAGTTCAGCTGATCCCGCTCTTCGGCCCTCGTCTGACAGGTCCTTGAAACAACCCTGTGCTCATTGCAGAATGTTTCTTGATTGAAGCCATGAAGTACCAATGCAATTGCTTCTTTGCGAAGAACATAATGTTGGAGTTGCCTCGCCCAGGCTTTGGGGGGTCGTCACTTACAAAACATCCTTTGTCGCTCGGAATGATACGAGGCCACTAGGCCTTTAGTTTCACCGTGCTGGGAAGAAAGGACAACAGCGGTGACTGCGTCGCATCTGCAGTGACCAACGTAGGGCAAAAAGTGAGGGCTGTATGGTATGAAACAAATACTAGTAGCTTCTTGTTACTAGTAGTACGGCCAGGAGCTACTAGTAGCGTCCTTGCTCCTAGTAGCGATGCCCTTTGCTCCTAGTAGCGAACATTGTTCATGGTATTTTGCAGCAACAAAACTCCCATTTTAGTAGCTTCTTGTCTCTTTTTCGTAGCCACATCCCTCCCTACCTAAAGCCCTCCTAGTAGTTTCGACATGTCTTCAGGACTGCAGCAGCGATGTCAGATCGAGCGGCAAGCAAGACCGGCTTCGAAACCTTGTCTGGCTTTACGGCTGAGGTCTTCTCATGGTCGTAGGCCCACTGCGCCACTTTGCTGCCCAAGAACCTTTAGTCTATTTTGCTAATTGTCGTTTCTCTGTTGTATCTAGGATGTTCCTGTTTGAGAGACTTAAACATGCTTGAATGTTCACAAAAAATGGCTGCCGGTGATATACCGGAATAATCCGGAATAGTCTTATCTTCCACACAAATTCAGCCGTTGTCTGGTTCGAGCATACTCGGCTCAGGTGAGCCCCCAGGCAAGTGGAACTTCGAGCTGTGGAACTGGAACTGCTCACGCCGGGTACGCGGCTTCTATTTGGTCTGTTTGCACAACAATCTTCTCGGTCTCCTGTTCCAACTCATGAAGTCTTGCGTGCGCGGAACCCGTGCGTTTGCATGTTTAAAAAGTAGTTGAAAATTGCGAGCAAAAGCACTCGGTGGATCTGAGTGGAATAGTCGACATGGTGCAACTTTCGGGCTTCAATTCCTCTCAGATCCGAACCTCAACCAATCGATTCCAGGGTTTGTCTGGAAATCTGAAACTGTTGAAGTAGCAAAGGCGATGTTCCACAGGTGGATCAGCACACACAGTCGAGTCGAGTGATTTCTCCTCAACAGTGCCGAGGCTGTGCAGGATTGGTACATCTCAATACTCCTGGACTCGGACTCATAGCTGATGTTAGCACCACTTCCTTCTCACTCAAGTCTGGTAGAACTGCATGGTATCCGCATCCCGCAACCCGAAGCACCCTGTACATTTGACAAATCACCCACCACAGATCGTCAATGGTCGCACTTTCGCACGCCTGCGATCAATGCCAGGACCAAATTATGAATTTTTTTGCTGCAATTGAGCACCGGGAAACAATCTCATCAGATCTTAAGACTATTCCTATGCGGCGCGGTTTGCTCTGGCTCTCCCGAAAACCTGCCTGTCCAGCCACAGAATGTTTAGAATCACCATCGTGGCACGTTCTTGCAGATTGAAACTTTTCAGGAAAAGCCTTCTCACAAAGCATCTAGGAAGCTAGGCATGCCCTTTCACTTAATGGCAAAGCAAATTGGTATCCACTGTAAAGAATGAACACTGCCACAGAATAAATATACAATACAATGCGTGTTAGACCGTGTTCCAAATCAAATCCCTGTTGACGTTGCAAAGAGCCATTTTGTCGTCTCAAGAGTCCGTTATCTCGGAAGCTACTAGGAACAAGTGCATCGCTACTAGAAACAGGTGCCTTACTATATAGTAGTAACAAGAAGTTACTAGAAACAACTGCCTTACTACTAGTAACAATAAGAATTTAATTAGAATTGTCGTCTCAAGAGTCCGTTATCTCTTGCTTAATCCTTGGTGGTTGAAGAAATTGCAGAACGCACGCACAGAGTCAGCATAAAGATCTACTTAAAGAAACAAAATGGAGCCCACGAACCCGAAACTACATATGTCCAAATGACACTCTTGTAAGACACTCTTGTGGGACACCCTTGTGGGTCACTCTTGTAGTGGGACACTCTTATAGGACACTCTTGTGGGTCACTCTTGTAGGACACTTTTGTGGGTCACTCGTGTAGGAAACTCTTGTGGGACACTCTTGTGGGACACTGTTGTAGGACACGTGGGTCACTCGTGTTGGAAACTTTTGTGGGACACTCTTGTGGGATACTCTTACACTTCCCACCAAGGCCGCGCAAATCCCAATGGCACTGCGACATCACGAACGTAATTTCGCCACACGGTCCGCCCATACACTAGAATCACTAGAAGCAAAAATATCACGTGATACCAGCACTGAGCACACTCCCATCCACCAAAATCGCCGTTGCAGCTGAGACTTGTCACGAAAACAGAGCTTCGATGCGATATCCTGAAACGCAAATCTTAATGGCACGGCCACATCCAACACCCTAATCACACGACTCTCCGACCGCTACCCCCAATGGAACTGCGCAGAAAACTGCGGATCTCACAAAGCGCTGTGCCTGCGCAGTGAACTCAACCTCCATACTTAAACATCTTACATTTCCACACGTCACGTTTTCATCCGAAACCCTCTCCAAAAGCTTCCCCCAATGGCAGTGCCTTAGCTACTGCGAACGGCGGCGAACGATTGCGGACGGTTGCGAACGCTGAGACAACGCGTCGCGAACAAGGCTCTACCCCCAAACCCCAGAGTTAAACGAGAACCTTTCGCTACGCATTCGGGAAAAAATACATAACATGACATAACAATTTAAGCAGCCTGAGCCACCGGCTTACATCACAGACAAGTGCGTCTCAAGCCACAATGGGAAGGTCGTTCAAACAAACAACGACCAGCTCAACTACCACGTAGAAGTGGTTATGGAGATAAGGGAAACGACAAGGTAACTATACGCGCGCGCTTGAAAAATACACGCCCATGAGCTCAACTGTCTGTCATGGCCGCAAAGTAGCTGAAGATGCTTTGTGAGACCGTGAAAAATGCCGGTTGCTCTTTATGATGCACTCCGAGGACATATAGAAATGTTGAAACGAAACATAAATTCCAGCGGTGAGGCTGAAATGCTCTTGAAAGAGTGGTGGACAAATCTACAGTAGTATCCAATCACATAGCCTACTCAAAACTCAACCTCACGCGCATGCTCTATTATGGCAGCTCCAAAGTTAAAGAATAATGAGTCAATGAGGTTATCTGAGATCAATATGTCCGATTTCAACAATGCACTAACTCCCTTCATTGATTCTTGAAGCTGCCATGTAGTTCGAAGGCAGGTCGGCTCAAGTGGCCGCAGTCTGCACAACCACCAAAAGCTGCTTCAAAAATCACTGATCTCACGCACCCAAGGCTGAGGTGCCATGATAACCCAGTCCTCGTTCCACACTGACAAATGCTCTCCATCATCGCCTCCTGCCAGGACTTCACTCAATCGAGCTCCAATGATGGATTGTCATGCTGAAATCCGAGAGGTGATGAAATACTAAGCTGCGATGCCCTTGTAACCAGTAGCTTCTTGCTAGTAGTAATGCCCTTGTTACTACTAGCGATGCCCTTGTAAAAAAAGTTGTCTTCACCAACTCATCCCTTCGTGCAAAAAGCTGACGTGTGACACGTCACAATGTGCATATTTGAATGTTTCCAGGAATATTGCTTGGCCTGAATGGCCTCATATGAGCGTCGTACTGTCAAGTAGAGGACATGATTCAGCAAGGTTATCGCTTTTGAGGGGGGCCTATCGCTTTTGCAGGTTTTAGCCACAATGTCAACATAGCTGAACACCTGAGAAGCTGCAAAACGAAAGCCTGCGTTTTTACTTTCGAGTGTGCTTTCTCAGGCCAACCCCCCCGAATCCCCCTTCTTACTCAGCTGGCGCAGGTAGTATAGTACTTCAAGTTCCCTTTCCGCCAACCGCTCGATAACCTTTACACGCGCACAGCAATCCACAGCTTTGAAGTCTCATTCTTGCATTGAACTTATATAGGTGTGTATAGCATTTATACGGACCCAGGGTAGCTACAATTCTGTTCCCAGGTATCCCACTTCAATTTCCCTACTCTGGGTCCGCGCGCGCGCGCCTTGCTGGCTCCCGGCTGCCCGTGATGTAGGCGCGCGCGCGCGTGCGCGCGCGTGCGCGGACCCAGGGCAGCTACAAGGCAGTTGCCAGGAATACCCTGAGTTGCGCGGACCCAGGGTAGGGAAATTGAAGTGGGATACCTTGCAACAGAATTGTAGCTACCCTGGGTCCGTATAAATGCTATGTTGCTATACCTCTTACACGCCTATATAAGTTCAATGCAAGAATGAGACTTCAAAGCTGCGGAGTGCTGCGCGTGCGTAAAGGTTATCGAGCGGTTGATGGAAAGGGAACTTGAAGTACTATACCTGGTAACTGCACTATAGCTACCCTGGGTATCTATACCTGGCAAGGTGCCAACTACACCTTACCATTCAGATGATGCAAATGATGCAAATTGCATTTCTTGCATCACCACCCCTCAAAAATCACCTCCAACACAACCTCAAAAAACCTTCCATCCGTCCACCCTCCTCCCCCAGCATGTGCCGAGTTTACGTGTACCTTTTGCGGGCCAACCCCCAGACCCCCTAACTACTCACTTCGTTCGCCAAGCACAACTCAGCTGGCGCCTTCTACGAAGGCTGCTTTCCTAATATCCAAAAGCTGCGTCGCTTTTGCAGATTTTAGCCCAATTGCTAAAATTCACGACTGCTCTTTACTAAATGAGCAATTGCATGTCTTGGCAGTTGCTCATATCTTGAAAGCTTGTGAGGCTTTGTGGTAGCGGTTAGTGTCTTCAGAAAACGGAGCAAGGTACAAACTGGCAAATCAGAGACAAGCAAGCCCGGGCATTCAAATCCCCATAGAACACCGAACACCCCAGCAAATCTTGCTCCAGGACAGTACGGGGCGATTATGCAAACTGTAAAGGTGAATGCATGTCACTTGGTTTGCTTGCTTTTGAGGTGAGTCCAGGTTCACAGGTTTGCATACCGCAACCGTTTCCACCTCCAGACGGGTGGGACTGACGTCCTGAAAAGGTGCGCCGTTTGCCGCCTTCGCGTGGCATCCTTTCTTTTTCGAGCTGATCGACTTCGGGTGCGATCGTTTGCTTCGCATTGGTAGCGGAGCTACGGCTCCTTGCGACCTTTGTGTCTTCACCTTCGAGGTCCTGCGGAAGACCTACGTCACGAACGCTTTGCCGAGCTCCTGGCCCTCCTCGAACCAGAGCACATCGGCGCGACTACGACGCAGGCTGCAGAAGCCCAGAGCGCAGACTATCAGAACCTGCGCGACTCCTACGTTCCGCTGTTCAATGGCCAACCATCCGAGTACCGTGAGTACTGCAAGCGGCTCCTCCTTTACCAGAAGAAGATGCTCCTCAGCAAGAGGGGTGGTGAAGCCGTCTTGAACATCCTTGGATCATTCCAAGGGGTGGTTTGGCGCCTCTTCGAGGATTATCCTGTTGAGGATTGTGAGAAGGAGGGGGCACTCAGCAAGATCTTGGAACGCCTTGATCGCAACTTCGAGTACGACGACAGGGTCCTCCTTCCGAATGAATTTGAAGGCTACTTCACCAACCTCCACCAAAAGCCTCAGCAGAGCCTGCTCTCCTATGTCACCGACCATGACGAGGCCTACAGGAAGATCACCGGCCACAAGATCACGCTCCCAAGTCAGGTGCAGGGCTGGCATTTGCTCAAACGAGCCACCCTCACTCGTGAACAGAGACAGATGGTGACACTGAAAGCACCGACCTTGGAGAAGCCTTCGGTTGTTGAAGCATTGTTCCTCCTGTACGGGCAGGACTACAAGGCTGGTGGATGGTCCAACTCCAATGACCGACGACCTCAGCGATGGAAGGGACGCGGCTATGCTGCCTATGATGAAGAGTCTCATGACCCTACTTGGGAAGAGGCATGAGAATGAAGAGCCCTATGTCCCTGGGTATGAGGAGACTGCCTTCGATGAAGACGCTGTCTACTTTGGTGGCGATGATGACCCCAATGACGACCTTGAGGGCTTCGAAGATGATCCATCTCAACTGGCAGAAGCCTATGATTCAGCTTACGCCACCTACGTTGATGCTCGACAGCGCTTCAACCAGCTCAAGCTCGCCCGCAGCTACCTGCCGGCGGTTGCCCTCACAGATGGACAGACTTCTACCTCTCCTACATCATCAACGTCCACTGGAAAAGGCCGAAAAAAAAGGCCGTGGAAAAGGCAAGGGCAAGCCCAAGGGCAAGGGATCAAATGTGATCCGGTATCCACCCTCCTCTGGTGGCAAGAGCGATCCCAAGGGCCGAGCGAAAGCCAACATGACCTGCCTTCGCTGTGGACAGGTGGGCCACTGGGCGGCCAACTGCCCTCAGAACCCCAAAGGAAGTTCATCACCGAGCAACAAGAGGCCAGCACCAAGCTCCACGACCAGGGAAGGAATGGCCCTGCAGGCTGAACAGGCCATGTTGCTCTTCCAGGATGAGAATGGCCTCGACCATCCAGAAGCCACCATGCTGGATCCTGGTGCCTCAGCCTTCTTGAGCGGATTTGGTCCTTTCAAGCGCTACGTACAGCATCTCAGCGAGATTGGCTATCCGGTCAACACCATCCGCTTTGCTCGCTGTGAACGACAATTTCAGTTCGGCGGCGATGCATCCTCCAAGGCCAGCTGGACGGTCGACTTGCCTGTCATGATTGATGGCCAGTACGGAACCATCCAATGTTACCTGGTGCCCGGCAACACGCCTACGCTCATGGGTCGACCAGTGATTGAGGCCTTGCACATGAGCATCGACTTCAGTGGCAAGAGAGTTCGCTTCGGCACCTCACCTTGGCAATCAGTCTTGATCGGTCGACACGGTGAGTACTTGCTCTCGCTCACCGCTGGCATGGACAGCACCGCTGAACCACCCAAGGTGAACTTCAGCCTGAACATCGCAGAGGAAGTTCCTGGCAGTCATCTTCACCTTCAGGACTTCAAGCAGCTCGAGAACATCTTCCTTGCTGATGAGCAGCTGCTCAAGGACAACGGCATGGACTATGCCTATCAGACCCTGAAGCGCCATCAACTTCACACCATGGAGCTTGGCCTTCTTCAGGCGACCAAGCAGACTGAGGCCTACGGCACTGCTGAACTGCATCGTGAAGAGAGCCCCAAGCGAGTCCTCTGGGAGATCTATTGCGGTCACAGTCGAACTTCACAGCTTGCTGAGACTATGGGCATGGCTGTTGAGCGCTTCAGTCTTGACAATGGCTGGGACTTCAACCTCTTGGAGCACCAGAAGCAACTTCTGGCACGTCAGGCCGATGAAATGCCTGATGAGATCTTGCTGGCCCCAGCGTGCAAGCTATGGTCAAAGATGCAGACACTGGCATGTCGCACTGATGCCCAGCGAGAGGCTTTGATCGCCAGTCGTGAACATCATCATCGACGACACCTTCTCTTCTGCAAGAGGGTCTACATGGCTCAGGTTGAGGGCGCTCGACATGTCCATCTGGAACAGCCCAAGCACGCCCTCAGCTGGCAGACAAAGGCTTTGAAGTCTTTACCTGGCTATGCGGCCGAGTTTGACCAGCGCCGATACGGAGCACAATGCCTTGATGATGATGGCGAGTGGAGACTGACACAGAAACCCACTCGGATCCAAACGACAAAGAAGGCAGTTGCTGAAGTACTTCATCTTCGATGCCAACATGGCCATCCTCACTGCCGCTTGGAAGGAAGTGCCCCTGGCTTTGGTCCTCGCACGTCCTACATGGAAGATTATCAGCCTGGCTTTGCTGCCACATTGGCTGCTGCAATCTCTCTTCCTGAACCACCTCACCGCTGGGAAGCCGCTTTGGCAGTCAGCACCGCGAAAGCCACTGGGCACCTGGTCAAACTGCATACGGAACATCGTGCTGACGCTCTGAGGACAGTGCAAAGGTTGCATCGCAATCTGGGACATCCCTCTGCCGAAGCACTCACCGATTTGCTGGTTGCTCGCAACGCCAGTCCTGCGGTCATCGAAGCTGCCCGCCACTACCGATGTGTGGCCTGCGCCAAGTACAAGAAACCAAATGAGGCTGCTCCTTCTTCCTTGCCCCAGAGCCGACGCTTCAACGATACTGTCCAAGCTGATGTCTTCTACCTGAAGATTAACGACCGCACAAACACTCTGTGCTCAGCGTGGTTGATGTCGGCACTCGCTTCATGGCTGCCTACTTGCTTGATGATGAGACCACCGACTCCTACGCGCACGCCCTTGAGAAAATGTGATGCCGCCACTTTGGAGCACCCAAGACCTTGGTCACTGATGAAGGCAGATCCTGGCTTGGAGCCTCCATGGAAGCCTGGACGACGTCTTGGGGTATCGAACATCAAGTTGCACCAGGCGAAGCACATGAACGCCTGGCTCTTGTGGAAAGGAGACATGCAGTCTTGCGCAAGGCCATCGAGATCTACCTCGCAGACCGCCACCTCACCAACAAGAAGGGAATCCGTGAAGCCATTGCTCACATTGTACCTCAACAAAATGGCACTCCTTCCGTGGCTGGGTTCTCACCTTCGCAATGGGTCTTAGGCTACCAGCCAGAGCTCTCCACGCTCATGGATTCCAATCTCAATCCAGCTCAACTTGTTGGCACCAATGAGACCTTTGAGGCCAACCTGCAACGCCGAACTGCTGCCAAGATTGCCCTGACGACAGCTGATGCAGACAGCAAGCTACGCCGTGCCCTTGGACGCCGCTATCAAGGGCAGAACAAAGAGTTCCATCTTGGTGAGAAGGTTTGGTTTTGGCGTGATGCTAGACAAGGTCTGCTCAACAAGATTCGCTGGCTAGGACCCGCTCACGTGGTCATGCGAGAAGAGCACTCCAATGGAGATGGCACCAAGCACAATGTCAAGACCTACTGGCTGGCATACAAAACACAGCTCATTCGAGCAGCCCCACATCATGTTCGGGGAGACATCTTGGGCCCAGACCACGTCATCGACGACCTGCAGAAGGCCTTGAATCTGGTGCGCCAGTTGAAATCTCGTGGAGTCACCCGATGGTATGACCTGCAACGAGTGAACAGGCAACGCTTGGACGATGTTGATGACGATGAACAGCTGGATGATCCACATGGCTCGTTGGACGATGACTCAACACAAGGTCCACCAGCTCATCGACCTCGTCTACAGCCACCCATGGATGATGATTTGCAGGCAGAAGAGTATGAGCCCACTTCTCCAGCACACTCAGGGTATGCTCCAACATCGCCAACTGGAATCATGGCACCACCTCTGGCTGAGCAGGAGATTATTCCTGAAGCCCAGTCCCTGAACCACATGCTGCTACAGTGCCTGTGCCCGATTCCTTGCCAGCTTCACCGACTTCAAGGAGGTCACGCTCACCACCTCTGAGCATTCCAGAGCCTGGTGCTGAGCCGACGGTGCCAACACCACATCATGCACAACCACCTCGACCAGTTTTGGATCCAGCAACTGCTGCACTGTATGACACCGTTGATGCCGAGACCTTCCAAGAGCGACGAAATCGCTTCAATCGACAGGAGACATTGAGCTTTGGCCCCTGCCGAGGCAGACCATATCCAGTGAGTGATCCTTATCCGACAGCACCTCCTTCCTCGACAGCAGGGCCTACGCCACCAACTGCAGATGCAGAGTTGGACGCCGCCCTGGCATCGCAAGACTTCATGATCAACGAGCTGGTGGCCAACTGCTTGCCTCGTGGCTGGGCCTTTGAAGAAGGCTACTTCCAATTGGACAAGCAGCCCGTTGACTATTGGGAAGTTCGTGCTGGGTGCATGATCCGTCATCATGTCGTACCACGTCGGCAGAAGATGAGCTTGGCACATCTGCCAAAGGACGCACCCTTCCGGGCAGCTCAGCTGGACAATGTCAGGGTCACTGTGGTCTATGCCACCAACGGTCACTGTCAGCAGTTCACAGATGATGGCATGTGCACTTCACCACCTACGAGCTCTTCCTGGACAGGTGTGACCGTGTTCCAAATCAAGGGTGATGTTCGGAAGGAGCTCGCCATGTATGTGAAGGAACCTCTGGTCGGTGCCCGTCAAATGGGAAAGATGACCAAACAGCGCCATGCAAAGGCGTTCAAGAAAGACAAGAACAACCTGACCGAGAGAACGATGACCCCTGATGAGCGAGCTCAATTCAAAGCTGCAAAAGTGAAAGAGCTCAAGTCCTTCTTCGAGAACCAGGTCTGGACCTTCGAGAGCGTGAGAGAAGCTGAACCCGCTCGAACACTGACGAGCCGGATGTTGCTGAAGTGGTCGAAGAACCCGGACGGAACACCAAGAGCAAAGGCAAGGCTCATCGTCCGCGGCTTTATGGACCCAGATGCTTGGGATGGCACTGTGCCCACTTCATCACCGACCACGACACGGCTCTCTCGTTCCTGTCTGCTGAGCCTAGCTGCAACTATGAGATGGCCGGTTTGGACATCAGACATTGCCACCGCCTTCCTACAAGGAAAACCTCAGAGCAGAAAACTATGGGTGCAGCTACCTCCTGAATGCCTGGAACTGTTGGGAGCCCCTGCCGACACTCGGATGCTTCTCCTGAAGCCCTGCTACGGCCAGATCGATGCTCCACGTTCCTGGTACATGGCTGCTGTGGACAAGTTGCTAGACATGGGTCTGAAACAACACCCTCAGGATCCATGCTGTTTCCTGGCATATGAAGCTGACCTCAATCCGAGCTTCGTTGTGGGTCAAGAACAGCCACACCTGCTGGGACCTTGCGGCCTATGTGGTATGATCATCATGCATGTTGATGACATGTTGGGCTGCGGCTCTGAAGACTCCCAGGCCTATGGATCGATGATCTCGAAGCTGAAGACCACCTTCAACTTCAGAGAGTGGAAAACTGGACAAGATGGCACTGATTTGTCGTATTGTGGCTGTGACATCCAACTCACGGACACCAAGGGCTACAAGATACAACAGGACAACTTTATGAAGAAGATCAAGCCCATCACAATCGACAAACGCCGTGATGTCAATGAGATCATCTCCGAGCGTGACCTGACACAACTTCGAGCATTGCTTGGTTCGCTCCAATGGCCTGCAGTCCAATCAAGTCCGCTCCTACAGGAAGCACCTCGATCCTGAGCGGGCAAGTCTCCAAGGCCACCGACCAGACCTTGATGGATTGCAACAAGCTTTTGAAGTTCGGCAAGGACAACTCCGATGTTGGGCTGGTGTATGAACACCTTGGCGAAGTCCAGGACTTACGCCTCCTTCGCTTCTTTGACGCAGCATTCGCCACTCGTACCGCCAGCTTGGCTACATCATTTTGATGGTCAACATGACTGGAGAAGCCAAAAGACTCCTCGAGTCGCACGGTCATCGCTTGGCGCTGAAGCCCAAGGAGGTGGTCAGGCATGCGACGCCCTGGAGCGTGTCTGTGTCTACTGGAATTGCCTGCTTGACCCTCGTCGGAAGCTCAAGGAGTTGCTCGACTGCAAGTCCACCCTGGAACCAACGATGATCACGGACGCCAAGGCCTTGTATGATTCATTTCATCGAGAAGGCTACAGCAGCTCCGTTGTGGACAAGCAAGTCTCGCTGGAGGTGAAGGTGATGAAAGAAAGACTCCTCGCCCTTGGAGGCAATCTCAGATGGATGTCATCTGAAAGGCAACTGGCTGATGGCCTTACAAAAGAAAGCGCCCGTGGCTTGCTGGCTGAACGTTTGCGCTACGGAAAGCTGAAGCTCATCTGGGACCCGACGTATAAAGCAGCCAAGAAGAAGACCAAAGATGAGTTGAAAGCCAGTTTGCAGGAGAGCACTTTCAGTTCACCACCTTTGGATGAACCTCATCAAGCACTTCCCACAGCTGGCACTGAGCTCCTGAGAATGACTCCTACCCCGATGGCATGCCTGAGTATGAGGACCACTCTGAATATGTCCACATGGCAGTCACGAATGCCACAGTCTCTTACCTGCTTGAGGCTTGTGAGTATGCCCTGGTGACTGAAGAGACCTTTGTGGTACTGAATGACCACCCGGTAGTTCCGAGCCATGGCGTGCGCTGGCCTTGTTCGACCTACGAGCACTACCTCCGGAACCTCATGGCGTGGACTATGGTTCTTCTGCTGCTGCCCGGTGTCGCTGCTGACGCCACTGGAGAATCGGCAAACCCAGCTGGAGGAGACAGCTTCATGATGATGCTGTGCACTGTGTGTTGTGTGCTCTTGGGCACCTTTTTCATGCTGGGCCGATGGAGCCGTGCCGAAGTTCACGTACCTGCCTTGGCCATGTTCTCCCATGCTGCGACCCAGACTGACGAAACACCAGTCTCTCGCAGGTTGAGGGCAGAGATCGAGGAATGGCAGCTGCGCGCTTTGGAGTACCAGTCTGCGGCGATTGAAAGCAAGAAGGCCACCGACCTGGCCATCGCCAATGTATCGAGCCGCCGCGATCCTGCGCCGGTGCCTGGCTGAGATGGACAGCCATAGGCTGGAGTGTCCACTTCACCGTGGAATCTATGTGGCAAAGCATGGCCGCAAGCTCCACATCGATCCTCGATGCAGCTCCCTCGAAGGCCGTGACCAGAGGAACGTAGATTTGTTTGAACCTTGTGCCTTGTGCAGTGGCCGCCTTTTGCCGCCCGATCATGTCCAGATCTCCGGAGGCACCAGCCTCAGGACAGCGATCTGCACTTGGCTTGAGACACGAGGCCACAATGATGAGGGCTCGGTCTGGGTAGCAGACTCACCTGCAAGCTCCTTTTCCCCCGTGTAAAGATGACTGCATGTCACTTGGTTTGCTTGCTTTTGAGGTGAGTTCACAGGTTCGCATACCGCAACCGTTTCCACCTCCAGACGGGTGGGACTGACGTCCTGAAAAGGTGCGCCGTTTGCCGCCTTCGCGTGGCATCCTTTCTTTTTCGAGCTGATCGACTTCGGGTGCGATCGTTTGCTTCGCACAAACGAATGTGGCCAAAGAGAGGCTTCAAGGTGAATTCATCTGAAGCAGGGTCTGTGTCTCTGCAAGCAGTGCAGCGGTAAGAAAGCTCATAATCTTCCGAGTCGTACTGACAAACCTGGTGGATCTGTCCCACGCCTGGCGCCTGGTGCTTCCGAACCGGTAAGCTACGGTAAGCTTCTGCACTGCACTGCCAAGCTGTTTTAGGGCATATCCGTAAGTGGGAGGTAGCTGCTTTTATGGGGTTTGCTCCCATGCAAGACGCTGTTGGTTGCCTTCCCAAAGCAAGAGATCCATGAGAAAAAATCCCCTTGACATGGTTTTATGACACGTCATTTCACATGTCTTGCCTTCTGCGAGTGTGTCCATGTCTTGTCATGTCTGTGTTGCAGTACGCACCCCTCGGTGCCTGAACAGGCAATCTCACCCAGCGTCAGCCGAAGCTGTGGGTCCACTGCGAGCAAACCTCGGTCGTCTAACAAAGCTACGAAAATAGAAACACGGCAGACGGCAGTCTTAGAGTCTAACAATAATAATTACCTCAAACAACACTCAATTCATCAAGTTTCGTGACGTATGGCCGCTTTTGAAACATCAACGCAGAACAGAAGAATCAACACGTACCCACAGAAGCGAAGCGGCATCTCAGGACATGTTCGCATGGGTGCATGCTGTGTCTCGTTGTGTAGCGCACACTACCCATCAAGAATATGCGCAAAGGGCACACGAAGGAAACCTCTTCAACAAACAGCCAAGCGGCACTAAATAATCTCTCCCAACAACACACCTCTTCAGTTTTCTTTGGCCAGATTCAAGTGATTCATGTCCAAAGGAACAGCTTTTCTGGCTGAACAAGGCCGGACATGTGGATGTGCACAATGGACATGGGACGATGGGGTGCACGGTTTGTGGGGGACAAACTGCACCTGGGTGCTCTCCATGAGGTCATCAGAGATCCTGGAAGCTGTCATTGAAAGAATTGTCCATTAATTATATATCTTATATCCCATAGCGAGTAAATCAAATTCTGAAGCGCTTTGCCCTTCACAGTGATCATGTGCACGTCTTGACCTTGAACCCAAAGCCATCTTGTGGCATGGCCGAGAGGCCGTCCAAGAGGTGAATACACGGTTCCTGAGATGACCATGCACTTTCGAGAGGGAGTTCAGTCCACAAAGCTTCGACGGTCATAGACAGCTCTGCCACCACTAGATTCCATGGACCTTTGCTTCCTTCTTTGACGACTGAGACGGGACAAGCCGGCAAGCATCTGAAAGGGCATCTGCAAAGACAAGGGAGGTGCCGGAAAGCTTGCGCTTCTTCAAGTACCTTGGCAAACGAGTTGTGCAAAGCATAAGGAGACTCCAATTCAAACGAAACTAAACTGCTGATATTGATCTCGTGGTTTGTCGTACTCTGCATTTCAACACATGCTGCCAGAGCACTGACGTAGTCCATGCTTGCGGACATACTCAAAGGACTTACAGCAGCCAGGCCTTGTCGAGTTCCACGGATACCTCCGAGAAAACCAGAGGAAGAGAAAGACAAACAGAAAGAAAAACAGATAGACAAACTCAAAGAAACTTGCTATGCTCGGCTTGGTGACATGAACAAGGCCCTATCCACACAGGATCTCTCCATGCATCACTGTGGAGGAAAGGCTAAACTCCAGCTAACGGGTCTAGGGAGCAGGTGCTGACATGCAACTTGCAGGCAAGCCCCCCCTGTGTTTTGTCCTTGGCCAAAAAAAAGAAAAAACAATAATGGAAGCAGAGTCGAGCAAACTCTCTGGTTGCCGGACTGAACCAAGCCTCTGCAGAAGAGCAGAGAGAATGATCACACCTGCCAGGGTAGTGGGGTTCGTGTTGAGAAGGTAGCGAATGCATCAGCTACAGTGTTAACAGAAACAAAAATGGCCGAGAAAGAAAGCCAATTTGCTCCACAGGCAAACAAACATGATAATCAATCGAATGGGAAATAGTAACTCTGCAGAAACGTTCGCAGGATGGGAAAAGGCTTTTTGAATGATAATGTTCTCTGAAGCTTGGCATGCCCCCATCTCGCCTAAAGCAAACGTATCCTGAGAAGATCAAGAGGTCCTACCTGGTCCTACCTTGTCCAATCTCCCTCAACGTGGGTTCTATGAGAAGAAATATTTATATCAGTCAGCAAGGCAGCCAATGTCGTCCTCTTTTCAAAACTGATTCTACTATATTCTACAAAGCCTTCTCTAAATCAAATTCAGCAGACAGGTTGGTGCAAACTCACAGCATGTCATAATCTGGAGCTCAAATTGCCGGTCGCTTCTGCCCAAGGATCTGCTAGGAAAGCATCGTACTTGAGGCTGGTGTGAACCTCTGGAGCTACGTACATGTCCTTTCCATGGGCGCCACTGGACACTCCTGAGTGTGGCAGCTCCAAAAAGAGCGATGAAGGAATGTCATGGTGGCAGCTTCTCAAAGATTGGGCGGCGACAACCCAGGCGAGTTGAGGCTTCAATCTTGGTCTTTGAGTATGCAAACCTCCACAGTTCTCTGATGGTTGGTCTTGAAGGAACCGGACAATTTGACACTGCTGCCCAGCAGCTGGAACCAGAGGCGGCTGCAAAGTCAATGACACGAATTTCAAGTGTGTCATCTACCTGGCGACCCGTGAAACGGCAATAGCCCAGCGCAAATCAAACCCTGAAAATGTATCTCTTCAAGGCTCTGTCAAACCTCAGCAACAAAATGCAACAAAAGTTTCATCCCCGCAATGATTCTGCACTTGGAAAACATTCAATGAGGATGGGTATCCAAATCTGAGAAACACTGGGTAGGATCTCATAGGTTGGGCATGATTCTTTCACACTCCTTGCCTTTGTCACCAGGATGTTCTCGCATGACAAGTCATGATGCGCGATGGACCTGGGGGGCTCTGAGAATCGAAAGACGGCGAGGCGCGAGGCGCGAGGCTCGGATGGACCGAAGGCTCTTTCGACCTGGAACGCCATTGGAGGGGCCTGGAGAGCGAACCGATGGCCCCATGGAGGGCGAACCGATTCCTTCGTTCGAAAGAACTGGAACTGGCAGCTTCTCTGTGACTGGCCATCTTCTGCCGAGGCACAAGTCATGCAACTCTTGGACTGCTCTCAGCATTTGCACCGCAAGAGGCTGTACGGCCACCTGTGCCAGGGGACTTCCCCTCGCCTATTGGTCTAAGGCAAACAACCTACCGTGTCCAAGCTCAGACTCTGTTGCAACCCTGCACAGTTCCAGGTTGGTCTCCACAAAATTTGGGCTTGCAACCACGTCTGCCCGTGGAACAAAAGCTACAGACAAACTCATGGCTGCAGATGGTGAGCGAAAATTTCAATAAAAGAGGCCGCCAGGGTTCGCAAAATGACAATGTTTGACACGTTCACTGACCTGTTTCCTATCAATGGTTTCAGGAATTGTGAATTAGCACGTGTACCAATAGAATGAAACAAATCAATGTTTGCCTCTGAATGTATTCATGCTTCCAGTCCAGTAAAGCAAACTAAAAAGCAACTATAGACTGGATTTGCCTCCAAAACAGGTCTGGGTTTGCCTTTTTTTCTGGTTTCCCCGGATTCCATTCCTGGGTAAACCTCACATATCTGAAGACGCCCAAGCCAAACAGCATGTGTGCAATGCTCTGATTCTGTTGTTTGTCTACGTCAAACTTATATAGATCAAATTGTACATATTGAACAGCTAGTGTGAAAATTGTGTGTTTGCTTTGTTGAATGTTCTCTTCTGCTTCGGATGAGCAGCCACAATTCATGAACAGGGTGCACGCACAACGAGAAACCACTGGTATTTGCTGCGTTGTCTAGCTACAAAAGGATGTCTTGATCAGGCAGTGTTACCTTTGCAGCATGTTGCTTGTGGACAAGTTTTATCTAAAGATTGGAATGCTCTCGGCTCACACTGCGTTGACAGAGGGTTTCTTCAAACCGTGTTGAAAAATGTCACGGAAAAGAAAAAACTGCAGAACGCTTGTCGGGAATCCTGGCAGGATCCAGCCCGTGTAGGAAGCCAAGACAAGAGTCCTGTCTAGCCGCCTAGCCCTCTTTTTCCTCAGCGGGTTTTCCACTTCCTTGACATGTTCCATTCTAAAAATATTGTGCTATGCTGTTTTGTTGATCCTTCTCCTCTTCTGAAACCTGAGCTATCAACAAGATTTGTACATGAATTGCAAGAGCTGAGCAAAGCACACAAAACTATTGAAGCAAGAGGAAACTAATCGAGAACAGGACGGGCTTACAAACAGCTACTTTGAAATAGGAAGAAAAGGATCATTATTAAGGAAAAAAAGGAAGAACTAAAACCAAATGTGAGGGGCAAAACAGTTCGACGCAAGAAGAGCTCAGTAAGAGTAAGAGTGCGAGAAACTACTTAGACATAAATACTTTGTGGCGGAGCTAGCTAATCACAAAGCAAGAAGTGGAGCAAGTATTTGAAGATTGACGCGTCTTGATCAACTTAAATATAAAATATTGTAAATACAAAGCATGTGTGTGACCTTCAGCCACAAAAAAGAACAGCTATACAAATGGGGCAAAGCAATGTAGAAAAATAAGAGGCGCGGGCACGCAAAACTGCAACAAATTCATGAAGAAGCTGTTAGCATGTATATATTATATGTTATCTGCCATCTGATCCCTTTTCTTTACGCAAGTACTATCTGCCAATCTTGAACAAGAAGAGTTGCATGAAACCTTTTCGTGCTTGAAAAACGTGTGAGGAGATGCATCATGACAGAATCAAAGCATGAAAGTGCTGAAAAAGAACACAAATCCAAAGTGTGCCTCTCGGTCCATGCCCGGCGATAGATCCAAATGTGAGGACCAGTAGAAAAGATCGCCATGCGACGCGAAAGAGGAGACCTGGGCCCAGCTGTTTCCAAAGGTAAGAGAAAGAACTGGAAATCTGTCGGGTATTTTCGGGTGTTCTTTTAGCACGCTCCTATTTATTTAATAAGTAAGGCGACTAGTTCACTACTAGGCTAAGTTAGCTTCTAGTAACTGAATAAAGGATAGCTCACGCTTCTTCAAGGAAGCTGCCTCCGCCCTGAGCTCCCCCACCTGAGGGTGGGGGAGCCTCCCTTTTTTTACTCTCAAGCCGGCGCGACAAGGTCGACGGCAACCAACGAGCTTCCGCGTCGAAGGTCAGGAAACCATAAAGCACTACAGAAGAGAGTACACTTTACAGCAAAGCCTCGAAAGGCATGTTCCACGAGGAGGGGGTGGCCTTTGCACCCTTCTGGAAAGCACGGCACAAAGCCTCAAGCACAGGGTCATCTAAGTATGCCCCCGCACCAAGGAAGGCACCTTTGGGATAGGTTTTCCCATTGTTCTTGTTGCGCTTGTCCAAATGCAAAGGCGCAACCACTATGTTTTTCTTCTTGCAGTAAGCAAATCCAGAGCGCAGCACAGTGTAGGCCTGTGGTGTGGCCAACGTCCCGGCTGGCAGTTGGAACCGCCATCCTTGCATGAGACGCCTAACTCAAATGCAGAACAGGCCAGGCCCTCACCTAGTTTCCATCGCAAGGAATTGCAGAACTGCAACAAGGTCTTGAAGTTGGTAGGAGAAAGATCTGGTCTTCCACTGAAAGCCATGTCTGCGCCAAGCTGCACACGCCGATGCCACGTATAGGTAGCAACATCACTGTTCCACGGCCATCTAGGGCACAACTGCTGCGGAGTAAAAGTGCCACACGTCGTGGCTTGGGCTCCGCTGGTGTGTCCGGTTTTTTGCAGACACGATTCATCTTTGAAAACCAGAGTTGGCGAGCAAATATATCAGCATGCTTGAGTTGAAGGTCGGCTTTAATGGATTTGGCCAAATCAGCGATTTGATCTTTGGCGTGGTGGTCTGCTAGGCGGTTCAGAACGATGTCATTCTTATTGGAGCCAGCGGACAATGCTTCTTCTCCCGTAAGATCATAACTATGGACGCGCTCCAACAAATGGGCTGGGCACCATTGAAGCCGCAATGGGGCAACGAAATACCCACGCCTTTGTTGGATGACAGAAAGCAAAAAGCCCCACCAGTTGGCGTGCGTCCATTCAAGCTGAACTCGATCATGCTCAAGAAGAAGCTCGAATTGCTTTACTATCGTCAACGAATCCGTATGCACGACAGGCGGCTGACAAGAAGTAGCAAACGCAACGAGAATAGCACAATTCAGCTGTGTAACTTGAAAGTCGCCAGTGATAAACCCTGCCTGCATCAAGCAGTGTTTTGTCAGCAGCAACCACGGCAAAAGAGGCTAAGGTCACGGGTGCGTAGCCAGCTGTACGGAGCCGTCAGTCCATACATGTATGGCTGGTTCCAAGGAGTCAGTCCAAGACTGCACTTGGATGTCAGAGGTGGATGAGACCTGGAGTTTTGCTCTGATGGCTCAAAAGGAGTTTCAACCAAGCCCCACATCAAGAAATTCGGTCCAAAGTAAAAGGTCAAAGAAGGTTGTTGCAGTTCAGCTGGCAAGCTTGGACATTCAGTGGAGGGCATCCGGGTCCAAAGGTACGCGTCGTCGATGAAGGCCCGAAAATCAACTCCATCAATGTGAATGATCAGCCAGGCCCAGATTGCCATATGCAGATTACAAAGCAGGCTCAAGGAGCACCCTTGTACTACACCGTTGGGTGCAGAAATCGGTGTCGACCGAGTCCATTGCTTGAATGACAAATACCGAGTCATCCGAGTATACAGTGCAAGGAAGGCCCTCACAAAACCAGTCGGAAGCCCCAGCGTTAGCATAATGGCGGCACACAGCTTTGGCATCAGGCGGTCGAAGCATTTCGACTTGTCCACTTTTATCTATGAGCGTGATCAATCTCAGTTTGGATGGTCATGTGCACTTCATTCATCTGCCTGTTAAATTCTTGACTCCACCCTTCAATCGAATAGGCATGATTGTTTGCTGCCAGTCCTGTAACTGAGAAAAACGCAGTCAGCAACCGGGCGGAAAGCCACAGGAGGTAAAGCTTGCGCTTCTCTGGTCATCCATCCATCTAGCCCTGCCGCCGCGTCCGGCTTTCGGGCTGCAGCTTGAGTCCACAGTTGCATTTCCGTGATGGGTGGCAGCAAAACAGTCTTGCCTTTGTCATGGATATAAGGCCACACTTGTTGTAAGATCTGCATCTCGTGTTGGTGACTGGCATTGACTGCAAAGACTCCATCCCACTTGTCCGCTATGACATCCATGGCAATTTGTGGATCAAAGACAATCTTGCCATCCTCATCAGATATTGATACACCACCTTCCCAATGGTCATGGACGTTGTCGCCAATCTCATTGCTTCCTTCCATTTGCGAATGGCAAGAAACTTTTGTTGTTTAATCTCTGCAGCAATGGCCCGAAGGGTAACTTCAACCAAATGCGGAATATCATGCACAAAAAGGTGGTGCCTTTGCAGCGGGATGAGGTTGGCTTCTTTCATACGTCTCAGCAGCTTCCGTTGAGTGTGCCAGAAAGTGCGAGAGTCACCACCATTGTTGGTATCACGCCCAAAGCGAAACTCTAACTCATGCAAGGATCGAAGGCATGCTTGTAGTAGCAAAAGTCTGGGGGGCGCATAGTGTCCAGCCGCATCTTGCGGAGCACTCATCTTAATTTTCCAGAACTTGGGCAATTTACCTCTGACACGAGGTCCTTTTTTCCCACGTAGCCCCATTCAAGATCAACAACTTGACCGCACAGTCATTGAAAAGGTCCCATTTTCTGTTGACATCCTGCTCAGAAGCAAAGTCAGATTCACAACTCTGCCATATTTGTTCCCCAAGTGCATTGACAGGACAATCAGGCTCCGATGGCGTAGCACGAGTAACATCATCAAGGTTCAATTTCGCATAGCGTTGCAGTACAGTTCCTGTTTGTTGGACACGATCCCACATGAAAGTGGCCTTGATTGGCCGACGCTGTCGGTCTTGATGATCGAGGACCTCAATGATCATCAAGGCAGTAAGCGCACTCTGATTCAGCAGGATTCCATCAATTGATGATTGACCCTCACCTTCTTCTGAAGCAGCTTGTTGGAAAAAGGTACAAGGCCGGAAAGCTTCACCGTGTTCATTCGTTTGTAAAGGAGGGTCAGACCACCCCCAATGATCCAAAGCCAATTGAACCGAAGGATACATGCCTGGTTCCATTTGAAAGTCCCCGGCCAGTAGTATGGGGACATCTCCATACTGCGCAGCAACAGTGAAGATCTGGTTGAGGAGCTCGTTGTTGCGTTCAAACTTGGCACGTTCAGATGCTGCATTGGCAATCGCATAGAAGTTAAAGGCCAACAATTTTACACTTGCAGAAACTTGGTGCCATGTAGCTGTGATTCTCGCAGAAGGGCGAAGAATCTGCCAAGTTCCAGACATGTCCGATCGGTCATCAAAGAGTTGCGTAAATTCCCTGTGGGCACAGGTAGCAGTTCCGCTTGATGGAATTCTAAATGTCCCATTGCTGGCTGCAAAGGAATCAATGTTTGCAGATATAGCAGACCATTTCGGTCCTTCTCCAGGATAACCCAATGTCATGTTGAAGCACTCAAAAATCCAGAAGACGGCAAGGAACACGCCTTTTGCGACAACGTAGAAGGTCGTCACTGTGATGGTGGTTGCGTACGGACCACCCCAACATGATCTGTAGACAAGCTCTACGTGACACAAAACATTCTGAATTCGACTGATGCGCATTGGTGGAGAGGCCCTCTTCTTCACCGTGAGGTGGAAGCACAGCATCGCCAAAGGCATAGTCATCAAAAACTCCACAATGTAGTACATCACCCAACTCATTGCAGCAATGTAACATCCCAAGCCACTCTGAAAAGGAGACCGGAAAGGTCGCCGTCACACGCAGAGAAGGCCGTAGGCCAGCAACCATAGTGAGAGCAAGGCACACACACTCTCCCCGGTGTGCGCAGATATAGCAGGAATGCCCGCTACCAAAGACCCAGTGACAAACTGGCAACTTCAACTCATCATTCCACCAGCCCGGAGAACTGATGGCCCCCTGTTGAGCAGAGGCTACGCCAGCACCACAAAACCACCCAACGTAGTCGAACACATGCACCACAAAAGGGCCCAACCCAAAGCATCGTAAAGGCCAGAGCCACTTTGTGAATTCGTAGATCGCCGTTCAAGCCGCCCTGAGGTGTTTGACCGGGGGGGGAGTATCCCCCTGCTCCCGGTGCCTTGGCTGCACACATTGAAGGATCTGGCGGAGCTGGTCTCCGACCTGGTTGAACTGGTTGTCCACCTTCTCACTCAAAGTGTCATGGCGCTGCTCAAGCCGGCCAACTTGCTCCTCAAGGCCATCAATCCTTTCATTGTGGGTGTCCTTGGAGATGTGACTACGAGGATCAGAATTCTCCTGCGCACCATCAACTCCGCCTTTGGCCTGCTTGCCTTTGCCCTTGCCCTTAGTTGCAACTTTGTAGGTTGCCGGCGCCAAAAGGACTTCAAAAGTCTTCTCATTCACTTTACAGAGAATTTTGTGATTGGAGGCACAGCTTCGAAAAACAATGTCCAGGCGCAGACTCCAGCTCTTCTGAATGACCTTGTTGGGATACATGGAGCTTTGGTAGCTTGGTGGACTGCAGAGACGATATCTTTGGCTAGGATCTCAGAGGGCCAGCCAAGACTATCGATGTTCACCCTGGGAATCATTGCCTTGTTGATCGAACAGATCCTATCATCTTGTGGCAACAACAAATCTCTGGCCGTAGCCAGGGCATCGGTGGCAAACCGAGAGGTTCTGTCCAGCGGCCAAAACCTCGGAATGATGGACAAGTCCTGGGCGCCAAAGTATTCCTGAGCATGTGCCACCACAGGATCCTCCACACCTGCAGGCCCATGCGCACACAGGGTTGGATACCTTACCAGTTGCCAGAATTAAGGATGAGGTAGCGGCAGTAAAATCCCTGATCATCAGATCATTTGCGCCTCTGGCAGAGAGAAGTGGGATTCGGTGTTTCTGCTGGACCTTCAAAATGCACTGATGGAGCAAGTCATGTTTGTCTTTTGACCGTTCTTGAATCATTCTGTAGCCATACAAAGCAGCATGACCCCAGATGGGATCGCTGCAAACCTCTTTCAATTGCACTTTGAAGCGAACTAATGGGTTGTCGTAGTAGGCATTGAAGTTCTCCTTTGTTGTCAACCGAGCATCGCGCTCAAGTACAATCTCACAAACTGCAGCCAAGGTCATGGTGATGGAGGGCGCAGGCAACGAGAAGGAGACCTCAGGGGTCAACACCAGCAAGCGCAGTTGTTTTTGTACTCTTGGTCAAGAGCTGGATCGAAGACGATCACCTGAAATGGCCCTGAAAGGCCACCCAATTTGACCAACGGATCCAAGGGGTCAATCGTTGGAAGTAGGACAGCGCACGGTTCTTTGGGCTTCAAGTCTCGAATGCTCTGCAAAGATCCTTTCGAAGTGAAGGCAATTCCACCCTTGATAGCTGACAATTGCTGCTTCTGCACAAAGGCAGGGGTGATTTGGACTTGTCAACAAAGGGGTGATCAGATTGCAGTTGAAGGTCTTCCCATTTGCTTTGTCTCACAGCTTTCTTGGAACTTTTCCACGGGTCATCGATTTGCCAAGGATCTTGCGGCATCATCGGTTGTTCTTCTTTATCATCACCATTCATACCTCCCAAGGACACTTCAGGCATAGGCTGGATGGAATGGACACCCCCAACCAGCAAGAAGAGTCTGCGCATGTTGGCAGCAAAAGGCTCCTGCAAGCCGCCATGCTTGATTGGATTCCTGAATGATGTCCTCAATGATTTGATTTCGCAAAGGAGGAATTTGAAAATCAGTCGGCAAGTGAAGATCAGCATGAATCCATCGATGGAGTAATTCCCAACCACACATGCCCGGCCGGGTTCGATTGGTGTCGATGATGATGACAGGTCAAAATCCAGGAGGGACAATCGCGTCCAGAATTGTTGGTCTCGTTGGGGTACTTGCAGGACAACGACCCGGCAGGTCATCAGGGTTGCATTGCAAATCACTTCAATCCCGATCCAGTGTCCTTCACGCAGGGCAACAAAGTTTTGCATCTCATCGAAATTAGGCTTGACACAGGCGGAGATGAGAGTCAGATCACCAAGAAGAATGGGAGGATTGAAGGCGACAGGCAAAAAATACAGCAAAGCAAACTCAATCTCATCACTTGCAGCCCATCCAGGAAACTCATTGTACATGGTGGCTCGCTGAGTGAGCCATCGATCAGCTAGGCTGGTGATGCGGTGGATGGTGTAGACCGAGTCAATGCGGCCCATGAATCTTTCTCGAAGCTCATCAACTTAGTGAAAATGCTCCTCAAGAAGATGTGCTTCAACAGAGGTTGGTGCAGGGTACTGAATACCTGCCGAAACTCTACGCCTCGTATACTGCTCAGCACCTTCTACAGCAGACTCATGTTGAGACCAAAGAAATCTTTGCTTCAATACACTTTGAGCAGGGACATTTCCATTTTCTGGGTCCTTTCCTCTTTGCCACCCTCTTCGGCACTACAGCAACGCTGGTCCTCCCAAGTGATCTGCGGACTGCCTGTCATCAGTTGGGCAACGCGATATCCCAACTGCATGGTTTGGTGGCTACATTGTTTGCACTTGAGGGAGTCTCTGGAGAATCCTTTCCTAAGCTGGCTCTTGTTCGACAATGTTGGGATGAGAGACTTACATCCAGCAATGCAATTGTGAGACACTGTGACGATACTTCTGTGTTGCAACCTATTGCTGATTTTGCTAGCTAGGCCATCCCAAGCATTGCTACGTGCCAGCCATGGTTGGTGGGAGACAAACTCATCAGGTTCAATGACGATGGAACACTCATTCCGGTCAATCGCATTGCTGCTGAACCGGTACTGACACGACTTTTAGCTGCTCTTGAATTACAATCGCATCTTCGAGGACAATTCCATTTACAGCAAGAAGACCGAGCTCCGCCGCATCTCACAACCTGGCAAGACGTCCAAGCTGGCCCAGTTGATGTCAAGATTGGGAGCACCTCACTCTGCACTCTTCAGATTGTCCGAACTTCCATAGACCGGGATGGTTTTGATCCCATCGTCTCCCCAACGCAGCCATGGGATGATCTTGGAGATGATCCTGATTTGGACAGACTAGTTGAGGCGCAAGCCAATGGGCCGCTTCATGTCATTGAGCATGTTTGGCATGATGGAGGTGTTCTCGGACGTGTCAAAGTCCTTTTGCTTCAGCAAGATTGTACCTATGAGTGGATTGAGAATGCCAATGTTGAACGCTTGGGAAACATTCCCTTCCTTCATGCCAATGGTCAGCATCGCCATTTCTTTTGTGTCCACGAGGCTGCATGTCAATCATTGTTGGGAACATGCGTTGTCATTGCGATTCAAGGGAGGTATGATCCAGTTGATCAAAACAGATGGGTCCTTCTTGCTGGTGGGATTGATACGAAATGGTGCAAAATTTGTCAACTGCCAAGAACTGTTACTCCTCAACAGTGCCATCAGATCTTTGATCAACAGTGTCGTATTATTCAGAGGAATCTCATGCCTTGTGCTTCCGACCAACCTTTGATGTTGATCAATGGTGACCTACTATGGTGTGACAGTCGCCTCACTTCCTCTGCCAATGTCGCCTTTGGTGGAATGGACCTTTTGGATGAGGCACCAAGCTGCAATGTTGATCAAGATGCTACTCTGGCAAGGCTCCTCAATTTCAACCTTGACCCGGCAGCATTGGCAGCTGATGAACTCGTTTTCCACTTTGACATCTTGCAAACGCTTATGCCCTCAATTTGCTGGTGCCCACCTGGCAGGTGGATGAACTGTGACTGGCAATTTCGCTTTCCGCATGAACCGATGGATTTGCAAGTCTGCTATGGACATTTCATCGTTCCCATTCTTGCTGACAGGGATTGGATCTTTCCTGAGGTCAGGATCGTGGATGAGTTGCGGCGCATCCTTTTTCACTCTCCCGAGCCTCTCACGGCGCTGCAGCGAACTGGGCTTATTGAACTGACTGAAGTTATGGGAATCGAAATTCTGCCGGGAAATGTAAGGTGGCTGAGAACTGTTGAAAACCCTGAGCTCTCTGCATGGTACACGTTGAGGACTTTCTATGCTCGTTCAGGCGCTCCATTGTTGCAAACCTCTGTCAGGACTTCCATGAGACTGCAGCGCAGCTTTCATCAGTTGCAAATTCTGCAAATCTTGGACCAAGCAGATCGAATATGGAGAGCCGCACAGACTGATGATCGCACTATGCAGTTTGGTCTGGCTTGCAGATCTATTTTCTTGCTTGCACTGGCTGAATCTCCTCGAAGGATTCACGCCCACTTGGCAGGAGGAAGGAGCAATCTGTCACCATAGACATTAAGCTGCTGTTCATCTAATTGGAGGTGTCTAACCAGCTCAAACGGGAGCGCAAACTGGTGTTTGGAGTCATTCCATGGTGTTCGATGCAATGCAGCACACAGGATTCTCTCTCTCGATTTCTCTCCATAAATGTCCAATCGAAGCCACACTGCAAGCCACCTAGTGCGGTGGTTACCTGTAAGCTGGTGAAGGGCGACATCTTGGGACCAGAAGCATCGATAGCCAGCCAACTGCAAGCCGGCTGAGAGAGCTCGCCAGTGGGAATGTGCCTCAATATCGTCTGAACATTCAAAAAGAGCAGCAATTGGACAAGTCTTGCACAGGTGCAGGATGCCATCCAGAAAGCAATACCCTTCATCTGAAGCCAGTCCTGAATTCTTTCCTCCTCGGCTCCAGCTTGGGCATGGAGGTGAGCATGTCGTCAACAGGTTGGACACATTGGAAGTCACCCGAGGGAGGAACTTGTCACCCACATCAGCCAAGACACCAATGTAGGCTTTCTTGAAGTCAAAGTCAACTGGAATGGGGCTTTGAATGTAATCCATCTGATGATTACACTTCCAGGTGTTCATCACTTGTACGTTCCAGTCTACGGAGACATGGGTTGCAAATGAACGGCTTTGATTGGACCCTTGTAGCCAAAACATTGCTCGAAGCCAACCCTCATATGCTCCTGAGAAGAGGTGCGCTACATTCCATGGCATGTCTTTGTGATATTGTGGAAGATTCCACAATGGCACAGTCTGATCAACTCGAATTTTGCCATTCGATGTATGATGAAGAGCATCGACATGCACACCAATCCAGGCGCCAACAGCCAAATCAACTTTAGTATGCACCACGTCACAGACGAGCTCAAAGGTCGACCACTCATCCCCAATGTCAACTTTGTCCAACAACATGTTTGTACGATGAACCATGACAGTTCGAGGAGAGTCATGTAGCTCTTCACCCACAGCACCAAACAAGGTCCAGTCGCTAGAGCCATCAAGGCATTCACCAGTGGCCGCAATGGCCTGAAGCGCTTGACGAACCGTCACACCAAGCGTGTCAGCCATTCCCATCGTCGCCCAGTCTATGAAACCAGCCTTCGACCTCGACCCACCAAAGCTCTTCGTATCCATCTTCTCCATGGCACTGCCAGGACCGATGAGGTCCTCGCTCTGTGGACGCACCACCCCTGCCAAGTTGGCAGGTAGCGATGCCCCGGCGCGTGCCCACGCGTAAGCTGTATGGCTTTGGGCCAGAGCAGCTGGGGGGGGGAGCCTGTTTGAAGAAGCGCTTGCACTAATGACTTGTTTCCTAGATTCTTAGGGAAACTTAAGGTCTGAATATGTGTGCGTGAGTCTTGATCCTTTTCCATCCTGTTCTCTTTCTCTCCTTCACCCGGTTTAGGCTAAGAGGCAATGTAGGTGCAAGTCTCGTCACGGTAGACGCCCAGCAGCTCACATGCCCAGTGATATCCAACCTGAGGGAGCTTGGAAAGGAGGAGGACTTGGGCGGAGGACTGAGAGGACTTGCTCTGCAGAATCTGACAGCTGGTGTCGAAGCGAAGACGAAAAAAACAATGTTTCGACACCAAAAACAGTAAGCAAGAGATACAAATGAATACCACTTGAGCTGGCTCTGGATAGCCCCAGTCTCCCAAAACTGTTGTCAAACCCTCAAGCCGGCCACGCCTGATTCAGAAATGCTGAATACGCCACATCCATCCAGGGCCTTCGACCAAGCAAAAGAATCGAACCCTTCGGAAATCCAACTCCAGAAGTCCAATCCTTTTGGACCTGAGGCCTTCCAAATGCATGAGGTTTACCACAAAAGAAACTCTTCCAGAGCAGCTGAAGCACATCTCCGTCTCAAATGGATAAGTGCTCTTGAACTCACCTTGGGCGGCTTGACACAAAGCTTCAAATGACCATCGTTCCCCAACTCCCCCACGAATCTTTCCTTGAGAGCACGTGGAATATACAAGAGAAAAACGACAACTTTAAGCATTCTTGTTCCATGTAGCAATGCCAGGAGCTAAGGAGCTACTAGTAGCTTCCTGTTCCTACTGTAGTAGCGATACCCTTTGTTACTAGTAGCATTCTTGCTAAGGGGTGGCTATGGTATGTCCTTCTGACTCAAATATGGTTTTGACAAGTCTTGATTGACTCATCCCAGAAGTCCACTCTGGCTGAGCAAACAAGCTGAGCGGCTCTGGTTGTGCAGCATCCACCAGGTCGGAACCTGCCGTCGATGGAGGCGATTTGATCGGGATGAAGCGCAAAAGGAACCTCTTTAGATGCTGTAGCTCGCATAAAGTTAAGCACACATGTCAGCCGTCTTGGATACAAATATCAAAAACAATGCTGTAACCTGTAACCCACTATTCAATCAATTCAACCGGACTCATCAAGGAATCTGATGCAAAAGGATGATGGTGCTTCTCCAACTTCTTGGCAGCGGTGCCTGCTTCACCGCTACGAGCATGGCAGCTGCTGTGTCTTTCATCAGTAGCACACGCCCCTTATTGCGTGGTGCATCTTCCAACTTCCTGCCAAACAGTGGTTACTCTCCTCTCCGCCTTTCACCACTGCAAAGGCCTTGGAATCTATCACCAAACTAAACAGAACTTGCAACATCTGCTGAACTTGAACAGCCCAACTGATGCCGACTCGTTATGAGTCGTTGAATTAAGACAAACGACCAATAGGCCCCACTCCTGACCATCTGGAAACGCAAGGGGTTCCATGGGGACCACTCATCCGCCGCCTTGAAAAGCGAAGTCGGCCCAAGTGGTTCTACTAGTAGCTCCTGGCCTTACTAGGAACAAGAAGCCACTAGTAACAAATGCATCGCTACTAGGAACAAGTGCATCGCTATTAGAACGTAGCTAATTTGCTGCTAGTAACAAGGGCATCGCTACTAGTATGAACGGTTCCGTCGGATCGTGCGAAACGCTGCCAAGTGGCCAGGCCATGTGGCATGTCTGCCAAAGCGAGGCAGGACTCTTGAAAAATTACACAGGCGATTGGCACTCAGTGCGCCGGCTGGAGTGGCAAAGACACCTTGCCAACCACCTGTCCGCCCTCCGTTTCCAGACCTATTGAGTCTGTTGACTCTGTCGTTTTCGTGGCTGCACGCCAAGTCCTCAAGCAAACAGCGTTTGGTGGACAAATAGGAGTTCTGAGGACACAAGACCTCGGACTGGCAACAGCCAATGGGCAGTCACACGGCTTTCTGACTCCAAATGACTCGACAGAAATTGTCTCAAGTGCTTGCGCGTAGGTGCTGTCAGAGGGAGCCGAATATGTGTCTGCCCAATTAAATGCTCCAAAAATAATGAAACGGAACTGAGCCAAAACGGATGCAAGCGGTCAGCGTCACCAAGGAAGCTGCAAATCCTCTCGTCGAAACTGTCAGCAAACTGCTTCTCTTTAGAACTGTGAAGTTTGTCTGTCGAGACTTGGCAAATGGAACACGATCAGGCTCGCAATTGTTGATCTCCGAATGCCGAGTTCGGAGCACCGTGTAGGAGCACCAAGTTCGGATAAATCATGGCGAGCTTTCAAGGAATCGAGAGGTAGCAAAAATTCGAGAGGTTGATAGCAACAGCCAGTTGGCAACATCCGTTGTTATAAAGTTGCCAGCTCGAGAGTGCCCCAACAGGCTGAGAAAAAGCACGTTGACTGTGCAAAAAGCACGTCATACGCGAGATGAGAATGCGAGACGACAATACTTTGGGATGCCGCACGAGAATCTGCAGGCAAATCTTGCACAGCCCTTGCGGCATCCTCGACATGCGGAGGAAGAGTGTGCCCTATAGTGTTCACACCAGCAAACGTCAATCGAAGGCACCAACATGCCTTGTGCCAAGGTCTGGAACGTGCATATTTCATGTTTTAACATGCAATCCCCCAAAATAACAGCTCTCATCTAAGTCTACTTCAATCAAACCAGTATATAGAGCACCAATAAATAGTATAGTTGGCTTGGCATTGAGTTGGCGCGACTCCACTTTCATGTCCTGTGCGTCCGGTTGATTGGATTGTCATGATTGCATTGTATTGCATTGCATTGGATTGGATTGGACGCGATTTTGTTGGATTTGGGTAAGTTGAATTTGATTGGGTGTGCTTTGACTGAAATATGACTTGATTGAAATGAGATAGTTGAATTCAGGTTTGATTGGGAAATATTTAATTTAAAACAAACAAATATGTGCATTGATTTGCTTTTGGCACAAGTCTTTGTCTTAACTGTCCAGTTGTTACAGTTGTTTGCTTTTCTATGTTCAATGGACATTTGGCTTGCAAAGCCACACACAGCTGTATGTTTCCTTCGTTCCGCTTCGACAAAGCTTAGACTGATGAATATTTGGACAGCCTTGGTATTGATTCTGGACTGTCTTGATTGAATTGGATCGGCTTAATTGGCTTGGATTGCAAATGGGTTTGTTTGGATTGTGTTTGATTGGATTTGACTGGCTTGGAGTCTTGGAGTTGGATAGATTTGATTGAATGTTGAATGACCCACATCAAATCCAACCCATCCGAATCAACACTTGAACAGACAAACCGGAGCCAGTGAGGGGTCTAACAAAGATTTACCAAAACCCCTTCAAATACAAACAAAAGTTCGCACTGTTAGCTAAAGTTAGCAAAAACGTTGTAACATGTGGCAGCTTAGCAGGGGTTAACTTGTACCTTAGCAAAACTCGGCTAACTGCTGGCTAAGGAGGCTGTGACGTTGCTAAGTGCCACCTAAACTTGACGAAACCTAGCCAGACTTACGACGTGGCTTACTTGCTGATCGTTAAAGGTGTGGTTGTAAACCCACCTAGCCATCCAAATATCAAGTTCGGTAAACCCAGCTGGAAAGGTTTCCGTCCTGAAGGCCAGGGATGAGCTTGCCCTGCTCAAAACGGGCAAGGGCTCGGCGATATCGAGCCTGGCCACTCAAATAAAACAACCTCCAAGCTAATAACATATGCTGCCTAGTTCTTGCATGCGGATGCTTCAACTTTCACTGTCTAGCTTTTGTCTGCCTCCGGGAAAAAATATCTCTGCATGTACAAGGAATTTGTCTCCGAGACGAGTGGACTAATAGGAATGTTTTTTTGTCTACTACCATCTGCAAAAGGAAACAGGATGTAGATTCTACAGTAGATCATAATTCAGTGCCTTAATTGCTTGCCATTCACGTGACCGCACGTGAATGACTGCTGCACTACGCTGCATCCCACCTTCCCATTTGTGGGTTTCTCTTCCAAGGCTGCGCTGCAGTCTTGTTCCTTGAAGCCAAACGCAGGCTGAGCAGCCGCTGGCACAGGCACCCGGCCCTTCAACCAATCACACTACTTCACTAGAACAGTTGGCCACAGCTACTAGGGGCTCCAAATCAATTTCCATCTTTCAGCCTCAAAATTTGCACTTCCATTCTTTTGGCACCGATTCCCGCCAGCTGGGCTCCACTGGCTGCATCTTGAAAGCGTTGGAGCTTCAAGCGGCAAAGAGCCTCAGCGAAATAGGCCATGAACTCTTTAAACCTTGTTCCACTGTGTTCTGTGCAGTCTGATGTTCATGTTTAAAAAAATGATCCAACATGTAGAAAGTTCATCAAAGTGCATGCGTCCTACAAAACTGTTTCTGTGCCTAATCTTCTCTGTTCTTTCGTAGCGTCACAGGTGCCATTTCAGCACCCTTGTACAGCCACTCGGCCACGCAAACTGCCTTCAGTCCACACCAAGTGCACAGCTCGATTGGTTTGCAGGGCGCAGCGGAGATCGCCTCGAGGACACACAGACCACAAGCAAAAAAGAAAGTGATGTGATACATCTCATACATATATACGTACATACATAGCATATCTAGAAGTGCAAACATGTGTGTGTGTGTGTCAAAGCCTGTTTCTAAGGCTGCACACATTGTCAAGTCTTAAAAAACCAATTGTAACAGCAGGGCGCGTTGCAGGTTCTTTCGGAAAAAAAAGGCCGGGGGGCAACGGCCAGTCTTCTTACGTTGCCCAACGAAGCAATAGAAGACTGGTGGAAGCATTCAGGGACGCCTGAATGTGTACCTGCCACATTTTAAAGATGTTGAACCACTTCCAAGCTGTCCACTACAGTGTTTTGCAGTATGCGGCTAACGCGTTGCAACACATTGTTCAAACTCCTACAAGTCAGCCGACTCAGCCGCCTTTCCATTATTGCACCATTCGGTTCTCTCAAGTCAAGTGCTAATGCGTGTAAAGTGGGACTTCAACAACTGATTCAGCTCTTGCGAGCATCCATCTAAGTGTGTGCCGCCACAGAGTCCCACTGCGGGCTGTGGTGTGATCACCACCGAGGGGCGCAGCATGTGCATAGACCCAGATCGTGGGGGACTCCTACTGACTTCTCCTGTCTTCTCTCGTGGACTTCTCTCGGAATCTCACTAGCTCACGGTTTTGCACGAGACTGCTGATTGAATGCCGCAGGGCTCACTGCGATCGACTTCCAGGACAGATTCTCACATGCATGTCACGCTGCTACGTAGTCATAGGCCTTGTGAGGAGAGTGAAACCACGTGCGAGGTTTTTCTCTTTTGGTCCTTTTGTTTTTCTTTCTTGCTGTTGCTTTTCGTTTGTTTGAGGGCTTTCTTTAGGTCCTACGTGCGCCGATTACGGCTTTACTTGAGTGCCGGTGAAGGCAACCCCCTCCCTCCTTGCACCTAATCTGTTGCTATCCCACTCGCTATCTGGGATACAGAAGGAAATCGCACTCAACACACTTGTGTGTTGGTGCCTTTCCTTCTGTTTCTCCTGTCCTACTCCTAGCTACCCGGGCAGTCTAAGACTAAAGTCCCGCTCGCTAACTATTTAATTCATGTAACTAGAAGGCTTCATAACTAGTGGGCCTCGTCACTACACCTATCTTTCTCTCTTCCCCTCTTCGTTTGCTCTTTTTTGTTTTCTTTGTCTTTCTTTCTAAGGCTTGTTAGGTGGCTAGTGCCTCACTTGAGCGCCGATATCGGCGTGGTGTGTGTGTGTGTGTCAAAGCCTGTTTCTAAGGCTGCACACATTGCATGTTCTTTCAGAAAAAAGAGGCAGGGGGGCAACGGCCAGTCTTCTTACGTTGCCCAACGAAGCTATAGAAGACTGGTGGAAGCATTCAGGGACGCCTGAATGTGTACCCGCCACATTTTAAAGATGTTGAACCACTTCCAAGCTGTCCACTACAGTGTTTTGCAGTATGCGGCTAACGCGTTGCAACACATTGTTCAAACTCCTACAAGTCAGCCGACTCAGCCGCCTTTCCATTATTGCACCATTCGGTTCTCTCAAGTCAAGTGCTAATGCGTGTAAAGTGGGACTTCAACAACTGATTCAGCTCTTGCGAGCATCCATCTAAGTGTGCATATGTATATGTCTAATATATATACAAAAAAATATATGTAGTGTTGAATCACTTCACTTCACGTCCATTTGGCCTGAAGTTCTCACACTCAAGTGACAGTTCTCACACTCAGGTGTCAGTGAATACCCATGACCAGCGATTGCGGATTGTTCAAGGCATCCTCGTACCCAAGAGGAGGTGTCTCATTTTGGATTGCCCTCTTCCATCACCCGATTGGCCCTTGGACCTTTTCGCTGATACGAAGCTTCACATGTTTGGTCTCGGCGTTCTGTGTGGCATTTTGCTTGGTGCGCTGGACTTGCTCTGGATCCCTCCGCGAGCGGTGAAGGAGGCTCATCCTCTTGGGGAAGTGAGAGCGACTTGCATGAGTCACTAGGCTAAGGGCAGCGCCTTGTGTCAGGACCAGCTTTGAACATTAAAGTTTTTCGGACCTCTGAGCGTTTTTGGCCAGCCGAAGGATCGGGGAAGCACAAAACCCCTAGCCCTGGGGCGCAGCGGAATATGACATGGATTTGGACTCGTTCCACCTCTTCAGCAGCAGGAAATCACTCTAGGTTTAGGCACCTCTTTGTTTTACTTTGAGAGCCAAAGCCTTCATTTCGCCTTAGTACTGGGCATTCAGGTCCGACCTGCTTTGCCTTCCAACCTGATGCTGCTTGCCAAGAGCCATGTTTTCCTCCGAGGGAGTCTGGAAGACGGGGGAACGGAAGAATAGGTACATGAACCACTTGTCGTAGAACTTTTGAAAGCTCCTTACAGGGATCACGACAGGAGACAGCTGCTTTACGGAATTTTGCCTACGAGTTTCCGAAGACGATGGG